TCCAGTTTTGGGCTCCACAGTTCAAAAAGGATGTGGAGAAGCTTGAGAGAGTCCAGAGAAGAGCCACGCGCATGATCAGAGGTCAGGGAAGCAGACCCTACGATGACAGGCTGAGAGCCCTGGGGCTCTTTAGCCTGGAAAAGTGCAGGCTCAGGGGTGATCTGATGGCCACCTACAAGTTTATCAGGGGTGACCACCAGCATCTGGGGGAACGTTTGTTCACCAGAGCGCCCCAAGGGATGACGACTAGGTCGAATGGTCATAAACTACTACAAGACCTTTTCAGGCTGGACATAAGGAAGAATTTCTTTACTGTCCGAGCCCCCAAGGTCTGGAACAGCCTGCCACCGGAGGTGGTTCAAACACCTACGTTGAACACCTTCAAGAGCAAACTGGATGCTTATCTTGCTGGGATCCTATGACCCCAGCTGACTTCCTGCCCTTTGGGCGGGGGGCTGGACTCGATGATCTTCCGAGGTCCCTTCCAGCTCTAATGTCTATGAAATCTATGAAATCTGCTCTAATTCAGAGCATGCCAAAGCCCCAGGCCACGTTGCCAGTTTAGAATGTACGTGAGCACACTCCATGCCCAAGAAAGGATCCTGGCAGTGGTGCTGGGGTAGGAACTTAGGTCTAACTTCCAAGATTTCGTACGCTCTGGGCATGTCTACACATACATTTATGCCGGCTTAAATTTACTGCGTAGTAAGTGGGGATAGGTCAGCATCTACACATGCCTGTGTTAGAGCAGGTAAAGTTAGTCCCAAGTCAATCTGCACACACAGTGTTACTGAGCAGTAAGGTGTCTACATGTGCATTACTGTGCAGTAACTAATTGGGCGTAAATTTGATACCTCCATGATGCAGGTATCAAATTTACGCTCAAGTCGGCATAAGTTGCCATATTTACTGCACAGTACGGGCATGCGTCTACATTTGCACGCCCATACTGTGCAGTAATTTCAGTTACTGCGCAGTAAATGTGCACATGTAGATGTGCCAGCTGAGTATGGGCAGGTCCCACATCTCAGCAGTGCTCCCACGTTGCTCATGGAGGTGGCATGGATAAGATGTCGGTGACCTCCTAAACTGGGGTCTCAAAGAGGGCGTCCCATAAAATTCTTCATCCAATCTAACTGCACCAGATGGACCACAGAACTAACTGAAGTTCAGGGCCAATCACTTGTGTCTCTAGTTATTTTGAGATGAACCAGCAAAAGACATGTTGAAAAACTTCCCGGACGTGCCTCTGAAAGGGAAGAATCAATAAGCAAGTGAAGTGAAAGCAAAACGGGCTTGTAAATTGAAGGGTTACAAAAACCCTGGGGAATCTGAAGCTCAAGCAACACTATGCAATCAGGACAGAATTGTTTAATACACCGCGTGCTGGGTAATCGCACGCAAGAGCTCTACGTTTCTAAAGCCACGCTGAGCCTTGTTAAGAGAAGGATTTACTGGTGGGCTACAACTGAAGCGAACAGTCTGGCCACATGTGTGCAAACTGATTTACCAGTGCGTCCTCTGTCCCTCCTGCGGCTGGGTTCTTCCCTCCAAGCACCATGCTAGTTGCTACCAAGATACGTCCCTGATTGAGAGCAAAGGCAGTAAATAGGCACAGAACATTTTGTTTTAGGATGTAAAGAATCTTTCTGCTGCAAGAAGGAAAAACGCATGTTCATTTAAAGGGTGGGGAGAGGCCATAATGTTTCACATGGTACCCAGAGCTGCACTGAGTTCCCTCTGCTACTGAAGGATTTGTGATTCTATATGGAAAAGTTAATAGCCAGGTGTGCAAAACCACCGCTCAGAGGTGAGGAAACAGGAGCTTAGCTTGAGTAACGGTGCCCTGCACATTCCCGGAGATGGATGATCAAACAACTGGAGCTTCACAATTCAGGTTTGGCCGTTCTGGAAGTTCACGCACCTTTCCCTGCACCACATGGCACACGGTGGAGTTTATTCTCGGCGTTGCCAAGTGGAATGTGCTGTGAAGAGCAGCTAGTCCTTTACAGGACCATCAGGATCTTAAGACTCAAGGTTTTGTGGTTTGGGTTACTGAAATGGCTTCCCTGACTGCTACGGGATTTAATGGGGTGTGCATGGGGGCGGGGGGG